CGCGCATTCCTGCGAGCGGCATTGTCATGAATTCTCCGGATCGTCGCCGGGCAATGATTTCGCGTTTCTTTGCCGGCCTCCTACGGCGACTGTACTTCCTCGTGGCGTATCACTCACCACGGGGACACTTTTGCCGCACACGCGCCATTAATTGTCTCTTTCAACGGTATGACAGTGTCATTGTTTGGGCAATAATCGAGACGATTAAGCGCGTAAGTATAACGTACACTCGGATTCGACACTCTATAAACGCGGACGCGCGTGAAAGAGAGTGAAAGAGAGTGAAAGGGATGAGTAATATGGGTTTGGCTTTGTCTCTTGCGCGCTCCTTTGGACTCGCGGCGTATTTTTTCTCTCGAAGCCCACCGACGCGGACGAGGGTGTCGCGACAGCCCGCTGTGACCTGACGATCTCGTTCATAGCTGGTACGCGCTCGGCGATCCAGCTTTAATCAGCGCTCGCACTTGTGCTTTCGCCGCGAGGAACATATCGTCGGCGCAAATTGAAAGCGGCAGTCCCAGTGATCGGTGAGCATTGTTCAACGAGATCTCGGGCGCGATCGCGCGTCGCTGTTAATGAAGATCGGAGATGAAAGCAGCTCGCGCGCCGGCAGCAGCTCCGCACGATTGGCCTCTGCTCCCTCGTCCAGGATCGATGCGATCGGGGATTCTGGCCGAAAAGTCGGCTGGATTTTTGCGCACACGAGCGAGCGAGTTTAGAGGGCAAGAGAGAAGGGAACAAGTCTCGAGAAGGGGATACTCATATAAGTTATGACCAAGCGAATAATTACATGGTCCTTCTCTCGCCCGGTTGCAGGGCAGAGGCAAAAGACAATTTTACGCAGCGGGGGGCAGCAGCAGCAGCAGCAACAGCAACAACAGCCGCGGCGGCGGCGGCGGCGGCGGCAGCAGCTGCCCTCGAGGTCTATCTGCCAGAGAGCACTTTTTTAAAATTGACAGCTCGGGCATCCGTCAAGCGCTCGCTTGCGAGTCCTCTCCATTAAGCTCGCTCTCTTGCTCTGGGCTAGCTTGTATACCTGTAGCACGCGCGGGCCCTTATGTAAATCAGCTTGCCAAGCGTAATTGGCCAGCCCGGAGAGATCTCCAAATAACTAATTACCGAGGAATCGAGTGCGAGAGCCTCATTATTGGACCGCGCAGCGGGATGTCGCGACACCTCGATCAGCCACGTATGCCCCCTTGATATGCTTCATTATGCTACGAGACCAGCTGCGATTAACTTTCTTCGCTCTCTCCACCAGCAGATTATCAACCCTCTTCTCCTCCTTTTCTCCTTTTCTCGGAATAGAATGTCGTCTCTTGCTCTCCTGCGTATTTTGGATATTCGCGGCTGCCGCCAGGCAACTGCTATGCGCTTAATTGATCATCGCCAATACGATTAATCGTGCATCATATTTCAGATACGCTGGATAAATCAGACTTCGAAATTGAACGGCTCTCTTAATCCTTCATCTTCGTCGTCGTCTTCTTTTTTCCATCTTATTCGCTGTCTATATCTTGAAATATTCGATGAAAGCAATTCAGTTGATCATTTGTTACCGATAATGTAATCCAAAACCAAGTCTTACATGCTCCTCAACGTTTCTATTCCTCTTCATTTTTTTCACTTTGCACTTGTCGTCAAATAGCTGTAAATGCGGATCAAATGCGGGATATGTCAAGTTGGACTTATTAACCGTGTCACCTTCGCTGGTGAGCAAAGAAAAATGCTTGATTAAGAGTTGGCGAAGCTCGACAACTTACTCGTAACAGAGAAGCATCCAAGGTGTATTTACAAAGTTATCAGCAATAACTCAAATTAAACTTGCCACTGCCAGATCCACGAGTTATTCAATATCAACGCTTTATTCGATAAGCATACGAGCCATAGATGATCTTTTTAAAGATATTGCACCTTGTGGATTAGGACATTACGATGCAAGCGCGGGAAAGTAGATTCTTGTCTCGTATGGTGTTTACGCCCTAGCGAAGCGAGACACTTTCCTGCACTTGTATCGTAATGTACTATTTTATAGAAATGGAAAATATTTTCACTACATTCGTGTTATTATAGAATAATAATAATAATAATAATAGAGCAACCTTCAAGAAAAAATAACCTCTAGAATTTCGATATCTAGCAGCATTTGTAGCATGCTAACAATTTAATCATCATTAATGCCAAACTGGAGGAACCATTCAAATTCTTATAGTTCAACATCTGAGATTTGTTATCTACATCTTTGGCATGATCATAGTTTATATTCATTAATATTCACTATACTGGCTTTAAGTTGCATAATAAATAACATCAAATCGTCAACTAAAATTTCTCGTCTTAAAAGTTAAAAATGCAAAAACCATCATTGGCATTGCTACTCTGTACACTGTGTAAATAATTATAATCCAGTTCAGTCTCCAGAATGTGGTGACATCGACAACCGTTTTCACCAGCATTAAGACGATTTGCTTGTCATCATCTCCTACGACCATCCACAGCAGTTAGGCAACTATAATGTCATCAAGTTTTGGTCTCGCTTTTATGAATTTATAGATGAATATCTTATGAAATTTCAAATCACATATAAAAAGTATATGATACTGTGGCTTGGTTTGGTCACTAGGCTTCATTGTTACAATTTCATCTCCTGGCAAATTTTCTATCTAAGTTGTCGATTTCAACACCATAGAAGAAAACGTAAGCACGGTTTTTGAAAGTGTGCGGTCAGTTACAACGCTACAAGAGATAACATTTAATCTCTGACGCTACTACCAATCCCGACCGGGTACTTGTTTCTTCGATTCGATTTTCTCCCCATCTTGTCTTACCACTTAAGAAATCTTAGGGTATTGTCATTTTCTGTTAGAAAGTAGCGTATTACCACCCTGTACTCAATCGGTAAACAGCTACAAAGTCGGCGCGCAAAATTGTACTAGCAAGAGGGGGGATGCCATACTATTAATACATATGAATTGTTACTCAAAGAGAGAAAAACGGACTTAACCAGACGTACCCCTCTCACAGTCCATATTTAATCGCTATTCTCTCTCTCTCTCACTTCCTTCGAATCATTTGTATATTTGCTATACTACCTACACGGAGTTTTACCTTATAGCCTTAATAAAAGTCAACCAATAAATCAATCAACTTCTCTCTGAACCCTACTCAATCTGAAGTACCATGACTATTGATGGCATGTAATGAAATTTGTCAAATATATAACTTTTCAGATCTTTATAAGTAAGAAGCTTATTGTTATATATAAAAAGTATATCGAACTGCATCAATGAATGATGTTTGATGAAACATCAAAATATTATTATTAATTAAATAAATTGATCAAATAAAATTAAGTATTAAGTTAAATATTAATAATTGTAAAATTTATTAATATTTTTATTAATTATAATATGAATAACACTGTAAGAAAATTTTACAAGATCGCGGCAGAGATTAGAAGGAATCTCTGGTCGAGGAGTTGACATCTTGCTAAAAGTCTTTTCATTTGTCACTCCCATCTATTTAAGCATACGCGTTGACCAAGTGTTATGAAAGGTGTAAGAATGGAACGTCAAGATTTAAAATTTGAGATAGGTGAGAGGGAGATCTATTGGGCATGGCAGGTAGAATTGTTTCCGTTTTTGTAAACAATAGTTCTTTTTAATGAAATAGTCTTTCTTTCGATATTTTTAGACTTTTCTATAATTGAAGCGATTGTTATCACCTTCTTCTTTCAAAAAGTACTACATAAGTTATAAATTATCATTTATCGATACATCATATTGTAGTTTAAAAAAATCACTTATTTTTCCTATGTTGAATTATTTAAATAAATGCAAAGAATACGATCACTATACATCGCCCTCACGCGTTTGGACTTCTGAGGCCGTACCTAGATGGCGTTTGCGAAAGACTATTCGCGATCGCAAAGTCGACTACAGCGCCAGTTATTTAACATTAGTAGATGCGGTGGAGAAATTCCGAAGCTGTCTAAATGGAAAAATAAATATACGTGTGTTAATATTCAATAGAGTACCGCATTTCGTAGTCTGAGCCATAATAATAAGCTCGACATAGATAGATATAGGTGGAAACGCTCGACGTCAGATTTGTTTTGGGTTGTGATTTTCTATGCGGCTCTCCTAAATTCTCAATCACTTTCTACTCATGTATTAATCGACAAGAGGTACGAAAGAGATCAAAAGTCCCTGTCGACATGTAGCCTGATGGCAAGAAGGAATAAACCAGACAGAATACGAAGCAAAAAAATTGTATTTGAACATAAAATTCAGGGAACAATTTTAACTGAGTAGGAATACTGTCAATTTGTCAAACTGGCTGTGTATGGTGCAACTTGCGATTCGCCCGTGCAGTCCACGAAGTGAAGCTACGATTAGATGGAAATATCGCTGCCCAACTTCTTCGGATGATCGTTGAAGATAATCACGACGCCGCACGTCGATTGCTTCGTTGCTAGAGAACCAGCCTTGGATTTACATTCTCACGTTTACGCTTGCAAAAAGTAACAGTCCTCAAAAGTATGAACTTGCCTTATTAATTATCACGGTGCTCTTACAATGGCCGTCACACTGTCTTGGGATATGCTATTACTATATGGAAATCTTGCACTTGAATGGGGGGGGGGGGGGGGTGCAGAGAAATGTCGATATCGAAAAAAGTAGTATTGTGGGTTAAGGCGGAGATTCTGCCAAATGTCGATATGCCATTAGTTAGTGCTGTCATATATTGTTCTGTGGTAAAATTGGTGTAAACAATTTTTCTTAAAAAGTTGAATATTTTACACAAGCCATGTACCTACATTACAATCTGTCAACATGGACCACAGGAAAATGTTCAATTCTTATTGTACTTTGGAATGGCCGTTATTCACGTCTACCAAGATACACGAGTAAGCAAATGATTATCAAAATATCGTGTGCAGTTTGTTTACTGTGTTCCGCTAGTATTGGACTACGCAACACCCCAAACAAACCTACTATGGCGCTCTTGTTTCTCGACTACGTAGACAAAATGTGGAATCATTACCTGGCTAACAGTCTACGTAGGATCAACGTTGGTTGCAGGTAAGTTCGGTATAGCTGTAAGATTAATCACCGCATGTCTGTTATTTAATAGAATCTAAAATTTATAGCTTTTATCGAGTTTTGAACATATAATTATTAGTAGATAAAAAAACCCGTGATATTATTAAAGTTCTAGCGCTGATAGTTAGGAAGCAATTAAATAATGTTTTGAATATTCCGAATGAAACGTGTTCAATAAGATTGGCATTTCAGAAATGTCCCTAACTCTTAAACATAGCCAATTTCTTAATGCATATACAGATGAGTTTATATTCATGATATTGAATAGTTCTTTCTCTTAAATAATATTTGAATAGTTTAAATAAAAGGAATTCAAAGAGGCACGGTCACTTATGACAATCTGTGCACTATCTTAATAATTATTGATATAGTCTGGCTACTTAGCACATGAATTCAAGCATCAATGTATACGACCTTTTGCAACGTTTGTTATGTCTTGTTGGTGAAACTTAATACACTTGTCGATAGTAATACTTTAGACGCGTTAATTTTATAAATGAATATCATATAATTATTACTCTTTTAGGTAGAAAAGTGTAGTGGCAAGGATACCACTGAACAGTTATTGATAAAGAGAATGTCCGCTTTAAAGAACTCTGGAGCGCGTTAGCATAGATGAGATGATTTATTGTCGCAGCAACTGTGAATAAACGTGGCACGACTCTGAAGACAGCTGACCGTCGTTTTATTCAATTGAAAAAGGGAAAAAGAGGCAAAATGGTGTTTCGGTGGCGACGAAATCACGCAGAGACGATCTATTTGGATTTACGCATCAAGCGGGATGCGTTACGTGAAGGCAAGGGAATAATATTCGAAAATATACTGACGCCAGCCGATATGAATGAGTCAATGTACTACGATTTCGTCAAAACAAGCATTAAAAATCACCACATGGTCAGTTTGTGTATCCTCCTCGAGGCGCGACTGGATCAAAATCCCACTTGTCTTGCGCAGATACTGTGGACGGTCATTCGCAATAAGGACATCGAGATCGCATCGATGTTGGTGAAGGCAGGTGCCGACGTGAACCAGCCAGACATTGTCAATTCAATTCGTAGCACTTTTTTACAAGAGATCGCTTGCCGCAGGGCCAACGTCAGACTTGTCCCGTTGTTGATGGAATACGGTGCCGACGTAACGGCTCTGGATGCACTTGGTCACTGTGCTTTGCAATACGCAATGAGAGCTCACAATCTTGACATTATTCCGGTTCTATTGGATTACGGTGCCGTGCTCGATCAGCGCAAATTCGACTTTTTGGCTAATAATACAAATGAGAACTCGGAGGAGTTGGCGATATTTCTCGTTAGTGGCGATCACGTGGAAACATTAAACTGCAGACGCCAACTAGTGACCATGGCCGTCAAAGCACTTCTCACTGTCAACATTTATGATCCATTTAAATTATCTTTGTTAAGCGCCATGCTGAATCTTCGAATTCCACAGGAGACTGTTATCTTGAAGTATCTGGTGCATGCGACAGGCGATGTAGTGACATGGTTTTATAATCATCCACGCATTCACACTTGTACGAAGATGATGTTTTTACACTGTTCAATAGGTAGGATAGGCAGTCGTGACAAAGTGCAAATGCTCATTGAATTGGGTGCAAATGTTAATCTCCCCGTGGAAATGGGAATCAATCAATTGAAGATAGGTATGCGTCCGCTCCACATCGCTTGCTTATTGCTTTCGTATCGAGACATACAGGCACTAATAGAAGCGGGCGCTGACGTAAATGCGCTCGATGCAGATGGTCGAACGCCATTCTCGTATGTGCCCCATAATTTCGTATGCTGGGAATTTATGATCAGGCATTTTGTGTTTATGATTTTGAATGGTTATGCAGTCAATAATACAGACATACTACGTATTCATTCTGAACCCCTACTGTACGAAATCTACAGTGACTGTAGATGCGATCTACAAAACATGATGCGAGATATGTATTGCAATGGGACTTCAATGTTTTCAGCGTTAGCGATGAACCATAAAGAGCTGGCATTATTGTTAAGTTCGCTAGAAAATTTCCAGAGGTTCTATACGAACTTACAAAGATATTCTATATATCGAGGATATTTTCATCGTAAAATCAAGGAAGTACGGAAATGGAATGAGATCATGTTGCCGAGAATGGAAACTCTCTTTAGCATATTACATCGTGTTGTGTCTGACACTCCAATGAAGATGATAATATATTATGTATATTGCAGCGAATGTTAGATTAGAATTTCGGCTTCTTCATCATGTACACTATCTTATTTTTGTTTCGTTACAGCTTTTAGTCAGACATGCATTCGCTAAGTAATCACTTGTCTCCTTGTATTTATTCAATCAATAAAAATTGCTACTCTACAAAATTATATATCAGCATTATTTTAGTTAATCAAAATCAATTCGTTGAAAATGGAAACGGGTACATTCCGATACTTGGAAAAATCACCTCTAAAAATGATTTTTTTTTAATTCTTTCAAATCAGGCATTCTTTCATCCGAATCATCAACTTCTTCTAATTCAACATTTGAATTAGATTTTCAAACATAGCACGTTTGTATAATAATTCAGCGAAATATGCGCCGCTTTAATTTTCAAAAGCTTAGTTTTTTTCTTGATTCCACAAACGAATTGGAATCAATTGGTGACGCATTACGACTTCCATACAACGCCAAATGGCATGTCTATTAGGGATGCAGTGATACAAAAGGAAAAATCGAGTAGAAGGAAGCGTGATGAATGGAAAAAAGAGTGATATACACCTACACATGAGTTGTGATAGTGCGAGAGCCATGGAGTGAGATCGTCAAAGAAGAGGTGATTGATCGAGCAATTAAATGGCGTTGTCATGGTTGGGGCTGCATAAGTAGAGGCGTGCGCGCGCGCGCGTGCATCGGCAGGCAAGAGGCCACCGCGGGGAGCTGGCGGCTGCCACAATTGACGGTAATGAGCTCGCATAGCGATCGAGAGAGAGAGAGAGAGAGTTTTGAGCCGATCGCTATGGGATAGAGACGCCTCCTGCAACTCCTTGTACGCCTTCGCCGACAACGGCGACCGAAATATTCGCATACTCATCGCCATGAGCCGCGAACAACTCTCGATATATGCTTATATACCGGCGACATGGCGACCCATGCCAGACACGCCCCTGACTTGCTCCGCAGCCGCTCCAACTATGTATAGCATTCTTCTTATTTTTCCATTTTCATAAACGATTAGTCTACGGTTAACTCTCTCTCTCTCTCTCTCTCTCTCTCCCTCTCTCTGTATCTTTTCCTTTTCTTTCGGCGTGTCAATATGAAAAAGCTCCTCAGAAGCAGATCTGACGATCATCGCTCTTTTCTCTTTCTTTGTGTTGTGTGTTTTAGAACAAGGCGGAGTCGAGCCGTGTATAGCCAAAAGAAACGCTTCTTTACATTTTCAAATTTAAATCTATGAATTTCATCTTCTTCGACAAGCTTTGTTGCTACAAGTATTGTTTTTTTGCGGTTACGATGAATTATTAAAATTGATTGAGGCTAAAAACAAAATTGTAATTGGAAGCAAACGACGCCGGAGGATAAAAAGTAAAAGAATCACTGCAATTGCGGAACGAAAAATGTTTCTGTACATGATGAATTCCACGATGAAGCAATATTTTCAACAGGAATTTCTAACGTAATGTATTAGAAACATATCAATGGTTTTACAGTTATCGAAAAACCTCTTATCCTCCGCATCGAGGTTATTATCCAAACATCAAAGGCTGAAAATATTTTTCCAACAAAAGCTATCATATTCAAAGCTAATGATGTAAAGAGTAGCGTCATGACGTCGTATGAAGTTCACCGAATTAAAAAGGGTGCGCGATCAAAGAAATCTGACTACGTTACATAGTCGATAGACACACACACACACAAGAGCTTCTTTCTCTCTCTCTCTCTCTCTCTTTCTCTCTCTCTCTCTCTCTCTCTGTCAGTATGTCGCGCGCGGAGCCCAAGGGGAGCGTCGTCGTCGCAGCACGACACTTTATTTTCTGATATATCGGCGTTCAAGCGATGTGTGGCGCGGAATATATATTGGTAAGATTAATCGACGTTGATCGCGCGTGCGCTGTTACAAAGTGCGCCGCCCGCCGCGACGTGGCTTGCATTTTACCTCCGACCGTAGAAGAGGAATGAGAGAGCCCGCGCTCGCGACGATCGTGTTTCTAGCCTCAGTCCCGATCGCTCCGAGCTTGTCGTCGACGACGTCGGCGACCAATACCACCTACGCCATCGCGACACCGAGACTTGGCCCTTTTCTTGCCAGCGAGAGAGAGAGAGAGAGAGAGCGCGCGCTTGTCGTCGCGAATCGATACCAGCAAATCGTACTTTGTTCTCCTTGTGTTTTGCGTGTACCCTCAGTTGCGGACACCAGTGCGCGCGATTCGATACTTGGAGCGCGCAAAAATTATCATAGCAGTAACAGCGACGCGCCGTCTGAAAAGAGAAAAAAAAAGAGAAAACTGGAGTTCCGCGGCTGTAACAGTCACACTTCCGCTGTCTCCGTTTCACGAGCGTATCGGTAACCAAACGAAATTCACGGCGCATCCCTTGCAAAAAGACGAAATAGGCTTGAGACTTGGCGAAGCCTCTATCTCTCTCTGTGAAATTGGTTACGAACCCGAGTAGCCAATGGCAATAGAAATGTTGGCTGTGCAAGTTGCGAAGTTCGCTGAGAAGCCCCGCAAAAGACTGTCGAATCGTAACTCGAGCCAAGCCTACACCGGCTAATTCAATAACGAGCATCGGCAAAGGCGGCAATGATTGAGAAGGCATTTGGCGAAAAGGATGGCAATAACCATCATCGCCTGCCAGATATATTTGTACGTTTACGAGGCAGTTAGTCCGGAGAGCGCGAGTTTGGCCTGCGACGCAGCTGCAGTCCACGGGAGCAGGACAGCAAGGTGGGCATAAAGTTGGTCGGTGGCGCGCGTCGCGCGACGCACAAGTAGCGGCGTCGCCGCGGCAATCCGGCGCAATCGGGAGGGGGCTCGTTGCCGAGTCAATTGGTAACTCTCGGCGGCGCGTTCTCGCACCGTCCGTGCCTGAATTTAATGCGGCCTGATATATTGGCGAGCCGAGCAATGGGGAGTCCGCGCCGGCTGCGCGCGCTATCGCGCTCGGGCACCCGTGCACCGCGCCTTCGCACTTTTAATCATCGGCGCCGCTGGAGCCTCGCGCCCCGCCAGTCCTAACATTGATTACAACCGGAGCAAATCATTCCCGTCAAATGCAGTTTAAGCTGTTTGCACTATAACTCCTTCTCTTCTGCCTTCCGCGCCAAACAAGAAGCCTTCGCCGAGCTTCCAGCCGGATCTTCGTTATTTCTGCCAGTCTCGGCGATTGCAATTAACTCCGGTGGCCTCGACCGTAACTCGTCGTAGCGAAGGATAGAGAGGCGTTAGTGTTTATTTACCTTTCGCAGTCGGAAGTCGCGTCGTCGAATTTACAGCAGAACGATGCATACTAATATAATAAAAGTACAATCAGTCCTCTAAAGTGATTAGATTTTCATGTAGGAACCGTATGCTCGACGAGTAGCGTCAAATGCTTATTTCGGATTCTCGCAAATAAATTACTCTTACAATTGTTAAGAAATTCGGAGCAATTATCCATCGAAACAAAGGATAAGCCACTAGCACGAGCCTACCCATGTGAGTGGTAAAAAATTGCGACAGAATGAGAATAGAAGCGAGGAAAATAAAGGAAAACTAGCTGAAAATGACGGTGAGTAGTGGCCGTCGAAAGTTTGCGGGCGTAGCTGGTAAGCGTGTTTACAGCAAATATGGCTTTGCACGGGACACCGTCGGCGGCCGCACCGGCACGTATATGAGTCGCGCTCGCGCGACCGTTTTCGCACCTCACCGACGAGGCTTCCGGCCGCTTTTCGGCTCTGCCGACGAAGCGAAACCCCCCGCCACGCCCAAAAAGGTCGAGGGGGCAGAGGCGCGCGCGCATAGCGGTAGCTCACGGTGGCCACCTGTCGTTTGGTCCGAGGTCGGCGGCGGGACTCGTGGCCCGCGACCGCCTGCGGCCGGCCGAGGCGAGCGCGGCACCCTACACCGACCTTCGCGCTTCAGTGACGTGAATTCTCATACTGTGCGCGCGAGATGCAGCTCTTGCCAAGGACTGTTTACCCATTAAGTGGCCAACTTCGCCGCCAGCCGATCGCACGAAAAGACACAAAAAGACCGACAGACGTTTCGAGACGGTGTGCCGAGGCGCCGCTGCGTTTTAGCACAGCTCCGGGCTGTTTTCAGCTCGTCCCTTTTTTCTCGGATGTCACTCCCACGCTTACGTCCGCTCGCGCTGCGCGATTATACTTCCACTCGATCTCCTTTCAGTTCCGCTGTGCCACTTCTCCCCTCCGAGTTAACGATGTCCGACTGGTGATTTTCGCTCGCTGATGCCATTTACGCAAATTGGGAAGTAGCTGGAGCTTTGTAAATGCAGTCGTCGTTCGAACGCTAAATTAATTATGAATAACACTTTACCGCGGGCATTCATTCCGATCACGTGGCCCCATGTGTCATTCAAATTGTTACGTCACTGATTAACTCTGCTGGGCAGCTCCAGGGCCATTAGCTGCTCTTGAATACGAAATAGACAAACATTGCGCGCGATTATAATAAATCACTTTCCACCGAGCGAAGTTGCGCCAAAAATACGTTACGCAACGTACCGAGAACGCGCTTTAAATCTGCGAGTAGCTCTGTGTGTGTGTGTGTGTGTGTGTGTGTGTGTGTGTGTGTGTGTGTGTGTGTGTGTAGGTGTGCCGAGCCGTCCTTTACGTTCATGGCAGCTGCGCGCGAATATTGGACACGTAACGTAAGGAAACTCTCGGTATAAACTTTATGTTCTACGTTGATAATTAAGAATTCTTTTTAACGGTCAATGCATTAGCTCCATATTTCTGGTACGTGCTAATTTATCTTCGACTGTTTTGCAACATTAGTCTAATTCTCGTTTAAAATTTAAAGTGTCTGCATTTCAGACGATCGTGGATTTAACGATTCACTTTTATTGGCAGATGTATTTTTGATTTATAATAATCCTTTAAATTTTACATAAAAACGTGATTGTAGAATCGAAGAGCACCGTTAAATCGTCTTACAGGAACAATTTCACAATCGAGAAATTCAATACGTAGAAAAATGACTGAAGCGGCGATGTGCAATAAGTAGGACATTTGTGGTTACATCAACTGAGACAAATGCCTTTGTTACACTTTTCAATTACTATAGTAGCTGATATTTGACAAAGACGGTTTATCGAAGAAATTTACTGGTTTACCTCTTTGGAAACATTAGTAATGAAAAAATCACATATACATGTAATG